GATAACAACGGTGGTCATAATGAAGATTATAAAGACGATAATGATAATAACAATAATATAACATATTAATAACAGTAAAGTAATTATGTGTACTATAATCATCATCATCATTACCATAGTAATAACAGTGACGATAATAATACTTCTCTTAAAGTTTTATGAATTTCACGGGGATACAGATAAGCAATTTGATAACAATAATGATGCAACGAAAAAGCGACAGATGGAGAGAAAAAAACACTTGTAATAGAGGATAAGAGAGTATCCTGTCGAGATGATTATCTGAGTGTCATAAGAAGCCTGCTATGATGCGCGTGAGAATAGGATGATAAGAAGAGGGGAAGAGAGAGATAGAGAGAGAGAGGGGGGGGGAGGTACACATGCCAACACCAATAACAGTAATGGTAACAGCAATTGAATTATATTAATAATCATCAAATAAGTAGCCTAACAACAGCGCAAATGAAATGCTTATAAAAAAGTTTTGAAATGAGTTCGCAATATTATATTCTCTCTCTCTCTCTCTCTCTCTCTCTCTCTCTCTCTCTCTCTCTCTCTCTCTCTTTCTCTCTCTTTCTCTCTCTCTCTCTGTCATTCTCTTTCTCTCTCTCTCTGCCCCCCCCCCCCTCTCTCTCTCTCCTCTCTCTCTCTCTCTCTCTCTCTCTCTCTCTCTCTCTCTCTCTCTCTCTCTCTCTCTCTTTCTCTCTCTTTCTCTCTCTCTCTCTGTCATTCTCTTTCTCTCTCTCTCTCTGCCCCCCCCCCCCCCCTCTCTCTCTCTCCTCTCTCTCTCTCTCTCTCTCTCTCTCTCTCTCTCTCTCTCTCTCTCTCTCTCTCTCTCTCTCTCTCTCTCTCTCTCTCTCATTTTTTGCAACAGGACATAACTCTATTTTCCGTGTTGATACAGGCCAATAAACAGGGCCCCACAGACTATAGTAATTTGGGTGATGCAGGGTGATACGCAGAGTGACGTAGCCTAATAAAGATCCTTGTAAATTGGGTTACAGGATATTACGGGGGATGAAAGGCTTGTAAATAGTTCAGATCTCCATTTAGTGTAGTTTAACCCAGGATGATAACAAACAGTATAAAACGCTACATTTATTACGATCACTGACTTTCCCATTGTAGACTTTTCCTGTTATTAATCTTATTGTTATTTCAAATTATCATCTATGGTACTGAAAATAAGGAATATTAACACTAGCATTACAAAAGACAATTGTATATCTTATCATCCATACGAAAGTTATATTGTGATTATTAACGTGCTATGGTTCTTAGTTAATGGCACTGTAATTAAGAGAATCTGCATATTAATACCAATACCTACTATCTTGTTTACCGTAATGAAGAGATAGAATGAATGAATAACTTACTGAAATAATAAGGATGATAATAATAGTAATAGTAGAAATAATAATAAATAATTACAGTGATAATAATAAATAATGACAATAATAACAACAAACAATGACAATAATAATAAAAATATATAATAATAATAACAGTAATAATGACAATAATGGTAATTATAATGATAATATTAATAATGATAATGATGTCTATAATATATGTCATAATAATAATGGTAATGATAAGAAAAGTGATAATAATGATAATGATAATAATAATAATAATAATAATAATAATAATAATAATAATAATAATAATAATAATGATAACTATTATCATTATCATTATAATACAGTTATAATGGTATTGATAATGATAATATTAATAACGATAATGATGTCTATTATGATGATAATAATTATGATGATGACGATGATGCTAATGATGATATTCATAATAATAATAGTAAAAAGTAATAGTAAAAAGAAAAGCAATAATGATAATAATGATGATGATGATAATAATAATAATAATAATAATGATAATAATAATAATAATAATAATAATAATAATAAGAAGAAGAAGAACAATTGTAATAATAACGATGGTTATGGTGATAATAGTAATAATGATAATAATAATAATGATGATAATAATAATAATAATAATAATAATGATAACAATAATATGATGATGGTGGTGATGAGGCCAATGATAATAAAGAAAAAAATATATAATGATAATGATGATGATACAATAATAATGATAATAATAATAATAATAATAATAATAATAATAATAATAACGATAATGATGACAACAATAATGATAATAACAACAAAGAAAATAAAAATACAAATAATAATTATAATGATATTATATCTTGCTATGTGCATTTGCAATAGTTGTGAGAAAAGGGTACTTAGTTCGACGGACTGCGGGATTATGCCACCAGGAGAAAATTAATTATTAGTTACTATTATTGCTAATACAGTATGTTAATATATGATATCACCCGGTATAAATATGTTATTTTATGGCGTATCTTTTTGCGTGTACTTTTTATATGATGCCATTACTATTTTCATTGTTTTCATTATCATTATTGATACTTTTATCAACAAGTTATTATTATATGCTTCAAAATAAATACCGTTCATTAGTGATGATGCTGATAATAACTACGATGATAATGTTAAGAAACTTTTTTGAAATTAGAAGACGTGATATTAAAATACTGTCTTGAACTTACCCATAAAGACGCACCGAGTATTGAGCATAAGAATATAATATGCACAAAGGCCATAGAGCAAGGCAAAGGTAAATACCGTTTTACACGAAATTAGCTTTGATTGGGAATAACGTTTACGAACTGGGCTTTAAGATATCATTAGAAAAGGTAATTAAGGTCCTACTAGAAGCAGTTAGTTCTTAAAGGTGTTCCTACAACAGAACAGGTCTTTGGGGTTTTATTACAAATAAGGACAGGTTTTTAATGCACTATAACAAAACAGGT